GTGTGGTGCTTAGTTGCTGGCTGGGGCTAAACCATGACAGCCTCCCCTCCAGTGACTGTACTCACTGTACCCACTTATGTTATTCCAGCTACCTGAAGATGCTAAATCGTGTGGCTAATTTTAGGAATGTTCAGTCCTGACCTTTAAAGGGAGACAAATTCTGCTCCTAAAGTCCATTTGTCTGAGCAAAAGTGGAATTAGAGTACATGCTGGGATAAATCTGTCAGATGGCAATGTATTTTCTGAATCCCCAGCTTTTTCTCATGCTGTAAGTGCACTGTTAATCTTACCTGCATTTGAGGCAATTGCAGAGTCTCCTTGAACATCTCATCTGCTGTCAGGCAGTGGGAATTTGGGTCATCTCTTACTCTGCAGTCAGCCTTCCTTGAGCAATGCCTCTGACCATCCACTTCTGGCAGTGACTATGAACATGAAGGGTTTTAAATGCTCCTCCACTTCCTCTTACAGTCAAACCCTTGGTGTCTATATCCAGCCCTACTGGAGATCATGCTTAATCCTCTCTTTTCTTAAAATCTCTGCCAGCTGCAGGTTGATTTCCAATCCAATTGGGATGTACAGCCTGGGCCTATCTCCTGTACTTCCATCTGGCAGGTCCACAGCAGCACATTCATGATCCATGATGAGGCAGCTAGAGAGGAAACTGTCTACCTCAAAGTGCTCTGACAAACAGGGATCGAAACACATTCTCTGGACACACTGGAAGCTTTGAGCCCCATAGCTTCATGTCTATGCTCTGAACAGAACTGCTTGAGTTCAAGGACTATGGCCCCTCCTGGGCATCTTGAGGCAGCTGTTGGCCCCTTGGGCAGGTAGGGAGGGTGGCCTGCCTTGGTGAAAAAGATCGACACTCCCTCCTGCAGGCTTCACTGAGCAAATTCTGAGCAATATGGAATCCCAGGTCAGAAACCACTGTTCACTTTTATGTCCCAGTGCAAGATATCAGGACCCCTGGGGCATGGCTCAGGCAGTTTCTCTTCTCTCCAAGAAGCCTCTAGCATGAGCACTCAAATACTGTGTCAGCTGGTACAGGTACACATAGTTTTGAACTTGTCTCTCAGATCTGATCTTCTCAATCTCCTTTCTCTGTTAGCAAAGTGTTCTGCAGAGGAGGGAAAATTCTGCATGAGGGCGATATCATCAAGATGCCTAAACTAGCCAACACATACGAGACTATAGCCAGTGAAGGAGCAGATGCCTTTTACACAGGAAGCCTGGCAAAACAGATCATCGATGACATCCGCAGTGTAGGTGAGAAACAGGACATCTGTCCAAAACAGCATGAGTGACCTCACTGCTGCGGCTCAGCATCCAGGGAGGAGCCAGTGACCTGCAGAAGCCTTGGAAGCAGGTCAAGTCGGCTGCCTGAAATGCTGCCTCTGAGATCTGTGGCAACAAGACACCCAAGAGAAGCCATTAGCACTTTAATGGATGAATATGAAACTCAGTCAGAAATGGATAGTATATACTGTGCATTTCTGTACCATATAGTCTAGCAGGTCTGTGCGTTTCTAGATATAGCTTAGTAGATACTTGCTGTTTACAGAGCCTGAACCAACAAGTTTCTACCTAAAACGTTACATGCATGGTCCTGTAAACTCTGAGCTTGTTTAATCTCTCAAAGCCACTAGATGGTGGTAGTATCCTATCCTTACTAGCTAGCATTGGCTGGCTTCAGTCAACCTCATACAAGTCATTAACTGGCTTTATTTGTGATGGTTAATTATTGTCTTCCCCCTTCTGATAATAAAGGCAATGGGACACAGAAATTACTCTGCTTGTGGGGTAGCACAAAGGATCTGCGCCCAAAAGCTGCATCCTCCTCCTGTAAACAGGATTCTTAATGATGTTACCTGACTTTGCTGGTGTCCTTTGTAAAAAAAGATGGATCACCAGTTTTTTGGCTGCTGTAAATCAGCCCAACTTCAAGCTTAGGCTATCTGAGCCTCAGCTGGATCTATCAAGGAATAAATTCATCTCCTGTGCACCCATCTTTGCTTTCTTTACCTTGCAACTTTTTGGATTTGTCTGTGTTCCCTCCTGTCCTTGCTGTGATGCATGGTGATGGAGTATTACCTCCTCTTCCCACCAGAGATCACATAAACCCACATCTATAGTTTCCTTCTCTTTTCCAGGGGGCATTGTCACATTGGATGACCTGCGGGACTACAATGCAACAGTGATTGAAGACCCCATACAGGTCACGCTGGGGGAGTTTACCCTCTACACGCCTAGTGCCCCCCTAAGTGGCCCAGTGCTAGCCCTCATTTTCAACATACTGAAAGGTGAGAGTGCCACTGAGCAGTGCCTTACAGGCAGCAGGAGCTGGGAGAGCTCCAAAGACAATGCCTGTTTTGTTTTGAGAGCTGGGCCTCCCTTGATAGCCCTCCAGCAGGTGGCAAGTCTGAGGCCCCAGGAGGGATCAGAGATGTGGAAACATTCCTCTTCTGCTGTAAACTCAGGAATGTCTCCTTCCTACTTGAAATACAGGTGCAAGAGGAAAAATATGCTCCTGGTTGGGGCACTTCCCTGGTACCTGCATGGGTGGAAACTAACTTGTACTTGAGGCTCCTTTGGAAAACGTCTGTGCAAGTACAAATCCTGCTGATGACTCCCATGGTGCTCAAAACTACCAGAGCTCCTGTGGTCCCTATGTGGAAATTAGGACAGTCCAGTGACTGCATCTCTGTAGAGGCAGGGCTTCAAGATTATACCGTTTAACACAGGTTTATTAGCAGTCCCTTGACCATGTACTTTCCTTTGTGTTCACAATCGTTTGTCTTCTGTTGCCAGGATATAATTTCTCTGCTGACAGCGTCAAAACCACGGAGGAGAAAGGTCTGACTTACCACCGCATTGTGGAGGCCTTTCGCTTTGCCTATGCCAAGAGGACTTTATTGGGAGATCCAAAATTTGTCAACATTACAGAGGTACCTGGCAAAAGCCTTTTCTTTCTGCAACACCAAGGTTGACTGGAACATGGCTTAAAGTTTTTGGGTAACTAAACTGTGTCAGGGATGCTCTGTGCCACCTGCTATTGACAGGCACTGAAATATCTCTGAATCAAAATGTGAAGTCCTATGTGACTCATGGCTGAGCTGTGAGGGATATAAATGGAGGAAACCTTCCTGCTGTAAGGAAAAGCAAAATCCTCAATTCACCAGGAGCGTTTGAGTATATTTAGGGCTAACCATCCCTGTTTTCGTAGTGTTTGAAGCCTTATTCACTAGATGACATTCCCAGCATCCTTGTGGCTTTCTAACCGCAGTCCTGCCTATAGTAAATGGACCAATGGATGGGAAGGGGTGAGGCAGGAACCCTGCTTTTCCCAACTTCACACTTTGTGCTTTTACTTCTGTGACTCTCCAAAAGGAGCAGGATCTGAGCCCAGCCCAGCTTGATGGACACAAATTTGCAACTTACAGAGCAATGATCAGAGCTTGCCTTGGTCTAGTCCTCTCAACCTGATCCCTCTCATCTCTGAAGCAAGTGTAACACTGCTTGCCTACACCTTACAGCAGTGCTGAGGACAGCTTTCCATAGATCTACAATACTGGATGCTGATTAACTTCCTACACAAAGGGGTGCATTGTAACAGCTGCTTCTGTGACTGCTTAAAATGCTCTTTGGTACAATGGCCATCTTTCAAGAAGGAGGAAAGCCCCTTGCTGGAAAACTATAGCCTCACTGCTGGGATTTGTCACTCTTCTGTGGTCTGAAGTATTGGATATCAGCCTCATAACTACATGTCTCTTAAACTTAATCTGCTGAGTAACTGCATTGGATTTCTCTGACAGGCAATCAGAAACATGACGTCCGAGTTCTTTGCGGATGGTCTCCGGAGGAAAATCACAGACAACACCTCCCATCCAGTTGACTACTATGAGCCAGTATATTACACTGGAGATAATGCCGGTACATCCCACCTCTCCGTTGTGGCTGATGACGGCAGTGCTGTGTCCGCCACCAGCACCATCAACCAATAGTATGAGCTCAGACATTACTTCCACGTAGGCCTTTGCCATCTTCATAGTGGTGGTTCTGTGGTTGGTATAAAACATCACTGAACTGTCATCTCTGTAGTGGGGTAGTGATGGGTAGCGCTGCTGATGGGCATTTCTCCTGCTGAGCTTGCAGGTCAGTTCTTAACACTGAGGCCTGTGTGGTTGGGTCAGAGAACAAGATGTGTCCTCTCTCATGTTGGGTTCAGCCACCAAGAAAACATTCACTGCATCTGGATCTTCTCATAAGCAGTGGTATCGCTGCTGGCTCTGATTTCCCAGGCATCTGGAAATAATTTGAACTAATACAGCTGGCCTGGAAGTGCAGTGTTTGGCTTTGAGTGCTGTCAGGAAGAGCTGTGTTCCACGCGTATGGCCTGAAGCCGGAGGGTGAAGGGTTTTTTTTGTCCATAGAAAATGTCTCCAGCTTGACACATCTAAGCAAAACCCCAGTCATCCCCAAATGTGCCAGCCTTTGAGCTATGCTGCCTCTGAATGGAGTGCAGTACTGCCCAGCTGGAAGGGGAATTAGTTGTACTTAGTTGCTGTGCTGTTTTTCCCCTTGGGGTCCTTGCAGGGGAGCTCTGGGCTGCCTTTCCTCTTTGTGTAGCTGTGTACTCATGGTATAAATTGCTTCCTTCCCCCAAGGGGTGACAGAATGACCTTTACAACAGGAGGGTGTGGAGAGTTACTCCAATCAAATCCCGGGTTTCACATTGCAGTAATTCACCTGAAGCTCTTCCTGGATTTTGCTGTGGTTCTGACATGTCTGCGCCAACTTGTTTTGTCTAGCTTTGGCTCTGATGTACGATCCAACGTGAGTGGAATCATATTTAATGATGAGATGGATGACTTCAGTTCACCTTACATAATCAATGGATTTGGGATCCCTCCTTCTCCAGCAAATTTCATAGCACCAGGTAGTTGTAAACTGCCTTCCTGGCTCAGTCTTTTGGCTATATCGAGCATACTAACACTATGGTGTCTGCAAGGTAGGCTGCAGCATGTCTGCGATCAGGCACAGATCTGGGGCTTTATGCGGAGGACAGGGATTGAAGCGAGTCACTTGGCAGCCCTGTCAAAAACACACAACTGGCCGCCCCTGGTGTACCCTGAAGGAGGAGAAGGTGTTTAAAGAAAAACTCTTGTGTATGCCTCCTTCCAACAACCAGAAATCCTTTCCCAGGGAGCTCAGTACATGTCAAATGAAATGACTTAGGGCCGCAAAAGATTTCTTTGAACTAATTTACGAGGGAGGCAGCAGCAGGAGCCAACTGCGAAGTGTTAGATGGCACTGTCCAGCCTTCTCTCTGTGCTGCCTTGGGAGCTGTAGGGCAGCTTTGGATAGATCCAGTTCATGTACCTAACCCAAGCACCCTCCCTGCTCCACCACTGCTTCCTGCAGACCCATCTCATTGCTGCTAAAGCAGGCTGGGATTCTGGTACACTCCTGTACCCCATGCTGTGGAGAGGGACAGGGAAGTGAAAGGACAGGAAGGGAAGTCCCATGGTGGACGGGAGGCAGCTGCATCACAGACAGCCCCAGCTGGGACAGGACTATGGAGAAAGGCACCTTCAGCCTCTGCGTGAAGGACCAGGGTTAAGCTTTGCATTGCAGGAACAAGAAGGAGGTGGATACAGGGGACAGCGGGATCCCCAAGGGCTGAACAGGACACGTGAGCTGAGTCAGGAGGGTGGATACTGAGGCTCTGGGTTTAGACATGGAGCAGGAGCTGGCAGTTTGTAAGCTGCAGGTGGAAAGCTGAGCCTCTGTTGCATCTGTGTCCCCAATAGGTAAACAGCCGATGTCCTCTATGTGCCCCTCCATCTTGGTGGATAAAATGAAAAAGGTCAGGATGGTGGTTGGTGCTTCTGGAGGAACAAAAATAACTACAGCAACAGCACTGGTATGTGATGATATGGGCAAACGGGGGACAAGGCTGAGGCAAAACAGAGTTGGGGAGAGGCAGCGTTTGGGGTAAGGGGCTCAAGTCTCCACCTGTGACATGACCAAGGCTGTGGTTCCCTGCTGTGGGCCGGGGGCCTGAAAGCGAGGTTCCTGCCTGGCCTTCTGAGGGCCAGACCTCCAATGCCAACTCCTGCCAGCACTACAAAGGGTCTCTTAAATTACTTCCTTCAGTGACTCCAGGTCTTTTCCTTTGGCAAGTCGTTCTTACCACTTGTGGAAGATTTGTGACTTCAGTTCGGCTTTGACTTCTGTTGTCTGGATCTCCACGAACTAATCTCATTATCTAGTTTAGAGCCATTCCCATCCAACATCCTAAACTTTGGATGGAAGTCACACAGACAAGCTAAATAAGTACTTAGAGCAGGCAAGGCGTCAGGCCGTCTAACAGGCAGGCTCTTTGTGAGCTGCTGTGGCAGCCACTCAAATGCCCAGCTAGACCAAAAGTGATTGCAGGAGAAAGCTGTCTCCTGTGCCAGCACACACAGCAGTTCAGAGCACCAGGCTGGGTCTTGCTTTCTGGCTGAGGTAGAGGAGAATTCTCTGTAAAAACCGCTACAATCAGCTTCCTAAGCCCTTGATCCTGAGGCTGTTTTCACTTGCCATCAGCTCTAACCTGCAATTTAAGCATGTAGAGATGAGCCAGGTGTAAGGAAACTGGTTGCACAGTAGCAGAAAGCTGTAGCTCTATGTTTGCTGAGGTGACTGCTGTGTGTCTAAGCCAGCACTAGCTTAATCACAGCAGCATAAATACAGCTACAGTAGCTTGAGGATCTGATCCTTTTACTATGTTAATTTTAGTAACTCATGGTCTCTTTGTGTGGGAATCCTCCTAAGCATATACAAGCTGACTTGCTGTAATGTAGCTGTGTTTTGCTTAGCCAAGAGAAGGACTGCTGAAAGCAGCAGGAACCAGAAATTACGCCTTTTATGTGCTCTGGTGAACATCCTTCAGGCATCTCTGCCTATGTTGCTACAAGGGTCAGGCCTCTTTGAAGATAAGTAACTAATGTTAAGGCTTTTTGCTTCTCATAGACGATCATGAATTCCATCTGGTTTGGTTATGATGTGAAGAAAGCAGTGGAAGAGCCCAGAATTCACGATCAGCTGTTTCCCAATATCACAGAGCTTGAGCAGCAAATGGAGGAGGTTTGTCTAGCTAGTCTGGGGTGTGTGTGAACTTTGTGTATGGTGCTGGGTTCCTAGTGTTGGGAAGGCATGCACTTGTGAAAAATCATGAAGCTTTGCCAAGTGTTCCTAGGTGAGCAGTATTAAAGCTGGCACATGTCAAGTACTGGGTCACAATAAGCTGTTCAAAGTGTACCTTTAGTCTCAGTCACATGGGTTTGAAGTCTAGTGCATTCAAGCATGACCTACATCTGAAACTGATGGTATGTATCTTCTTGTAATGTAGTTTGGCTCAAAGGACTTGCAAAATAGCAAACCACATCAGGGTCCGAACCATTCAGCAGTCTAAATACAGTGACCCTCAGGAAACTCTTGTCCAATTGTGCAACCTCCCAATGAATCCTGAAGCACTGGCACAGAGCTAGCAAGGAAGGATGCACAGAGGGACCCAAGAACAAACTTGAAAATATTTTCACAGTAAAGGTCTCTGTGCAGCACTGTCAGCCTGAGAGCTGATGGCAAGATCTGCCTCACTCTGCATACCACTCGCCTGAGCTGGCAGCTTCATTCACCCTGCAGAATTACACATCCCAGAGGTCCGAGACAGATGCAGTCTTTGTACATATCTCATCCCATATTAGGGAAAACACTCCTACATAAGGCAGTTTTCTTCATCAAACTATGCAGAAGATCCTCCTTTAATAAGCTGCTTATTAAGGTAACAGCTGAGATACCTGCCTGCGCTGGGGAGGATGCCCTGCTCTCTAGAAGTCCTATGTTTTCCCCCGTTCCCAAACAAGATCCATCAGTTCTGGCTGTTGGTATATAAATATCTGAGGCAGAATGCTCTGTGACCAGGAATCGTATTGGTACCCCACACTGAGCACAACAAATGCCACATCTTCTCAATTCCACCTTTTCAAAAGCAGGGCATCCCAGAAAGCAAAGGGAAGAGGAGGAACAGCATGTAGTTTTAGACCTACGTAATACAGGCACTGAACGCTTGGGTAGTCATGGAGGATGCAGGTCACAGACTATGGCATGCATGCAGTTTCTCTCTCCTGTTGTCCTCATTCACTTCTCTATTCCAGGGTATAGAAGAACAACTAAAGAAGAGAAAACACGATACCATGCGGATGAGCGGTGGTGCGGTTGTGCAGGCCATTCTCAGAACAGATAAAGGATGGGCTGCAGCATCTGATTCCCGGAAAGGTGGCTTCCCTGCAGGCTACTGACGTGGCTCGGCTCCTTTTTTCAGTGGTCTAGTGACACTGAGGTGTGTTTGGGGGGAAGATCCTTTAGGTCTGCAACTCAGGGACTTCTCACAGGAAAGAGAACAAATTTACCTGTGGTTCTATTGACAGAGCTGGGACGGTTCTCTACAGCCATGACCGAAGTGCCTCATGCCACAGCAGTCTGCTAAGACAAGCATGTCTACCAGAATGTGCAGTGCTTACTTGAAGAGTCTGTTCTGCCTTGAAGAGTTTGTTCCCTGCCTCCTCTTTTTCCCATGAAGACAGATTGGGTGCCCAGAGTTTCTGAAGAAGGTCCAGCTCACTCAAGCTGCAGGAAGTGTTTCCCCTGCACAGCATCAGCTACCGGGAATGTCCCTGTCACTGTTAGAGAAGAGATTTGTTACCTGTTGAGTAGATGGAAGTTACAGGACTCTGGGGACTGGGTTTTCTAAGTTACAAACTAATAGATCTGTGCCATAGAAGGAAGCCCAGCTCTAGACTGGGATAAGCCTTCACAAACTCGCCATTTTTTCTTTTAACAAAAGATGTTTCTGCTTTTCACTTCAGTTGATTATTGGAGATGAGTGGGTAAATGGGGAAATGGCTTCAAACTTTTTTATATTTCTGTTGAGAAGGTCTAAAGGGAAGATGCTACCTGTAAAACACTGAGCACAACTAAAATAAATAAATATGGAGTCACGCATTTTTCTTGCCTGTACAGTTGCTACAGCAAAAAGGGATGGTGAGATTCTGCAGGAAAGAAGCTCTCCTGAGATTTTTCTCTTTTCTTCACTCCTTTGATGAAGCTATGAGTTAAAAAAAAAAAGTTAAATATCCAAAACAAGCTTGTTTTTCTCCAGTTGGCTTTTTGCCACATCCTACTGCAGGCCTGAAATACCAGAGTCTGAGGAAATGAAACCTCTAAAAAAGGGCACGCTGTAGCTAGTCTTGTTTGAAGTTACCATTAAATCAGACAATTAATGACCTCTCAGAAATCCAAATCTGATATCGAACAGCTAAGAGTGTCTGTACCTATGTATGAGGGGGCTTTGGTGTTCACAATGGACAAATACATCACATTGGATAAACTTAGCCTAAGAACAAAACCGAATGTTCCAGGATGTTGTCAAGCTCTAGGGATGTTTATGAAATCCTTGAAACACAAGTAACAGTGACGGAACTCATCTATTTGGCTTGAAACTTCCTGCCAGTTTGTAAGAACCTTAAAATACAGAATGTATTGAAAAGAAAATGAAAGGCTGAAGTTTTAGGCATCAGACACCCTTTCTTTCCCAGTAGTTTCTGGAATTGAGGAGAGTCTAGTTTCAAGGAATAAAGTGATAGCTAGATCATGCGTAAATCAAGGGGTCACAACTTTGACATATATATTTGCTTATTTCACTCCCACTAAATGAGGGGCTTTTACTAAAAGTTGCCTGGGGTGCCCTGTGTGCTTCTTTTTCCTGAGCTGTTACTGATGATGATGTGTTAGGTGCAGCTAAGGCAATGATTGCAAAAAACCTAGAGTCATTGCATTCCTTTAACAATTAGATTGATTTGGGGCCAAACCTGTGTCCTTTTATTGTTGAACTGAGACTTTGACTGTTCTACTTCTTGTAATGCTACAATAGATGCCACTCAGTGGCAGGCTGCCGATGAAATCCAGTTTGCAAGGCCTTTTT